CTGCTTCCCTGTGTTTGTTTCTATGTATTGGGTAGCTGCTAAGTCTCCTTGAGTTTATAGAGTGGCCTTGTGTAGTAGGTGTCCTAAAGGGCCCAGTGGCTCAGCCTCCCCAGTCACCTGAGCTAGGAACTCTAGGTGCACCCATTTTGTGGGCTGTGAGCACAGTCTTGTTGTAGTTGAAATTTGATTGCTGTTGGTGTCACTGGGAGGAATTGACCTCCAGGCCAATTGGCTATGAGGACCAGCTGTCACTACAGTGGGAGAGCTGCTGTGCAGGAGACACCCTTATGGAGCAGGACTTGCTTCAGTGGGGCTTTGGTGCTCACTGAGTCTTCTCCTTGAGTGAGTCACTTATGGATGTGAAGAGTTGTTATCTGGTATGATCTGACACTGACCACTGGGTACACTGGCTCTTGGGTTTCCAGGGAGGTGCAAAGTTAGCCACTGCCTGGGGTCACCCAGCAGGATCTCCAGAGAGTTCTGCAGATTCCTCCTCTTTGTATTGGGTTTGGAAGTGCCCAGATGAGGCCTGGCTATGAAGCAAGGCAGGTTAATGCTGGTGCCGGGTCTTGGGCCTTTTATTGGTATGTTTTGTGACTCCCTGACCCAGCTGCAGCTTGTTTGAGAGATTTTAGCCTAAACAAGGACAGGCCATTCATATGCAGCAGCTGCTGAAGACAGCTTGGGTGGGGTTGTAAATTGGATGAGGTGAGGTCTTAGGGAATCACCAGGCTGAGCAAACAGAAATGGCTGCTGCCAGTCAGCCCTGTGACCAGGGAGGTGCCAGCATAGAAACAATGATCACTGCAAGCATCTCTGTCTGGGAGAAAGCCTCCCCCAAGTTCCTGACCTGATGCTAGACAAATGTATCTCTCAGAGCCTCACCCTGGTGCTGGAGCTCAGAGGAAGCAGGACCTTGTAAGTTCAGTTCATGGTGCTGGCCTTTTAAGAGGAACAGCTGGGTCTCCAGCAGCCTGTGTCACTGAGCCCCAGTCTGCACTGGTTTTTACAGCCCGTAGGTACAGGGACTTATTTTCTCAGCTCTGGGATCCTGGGCTGGGCTTCTGTTGTGGGGCTGGGACCCCTTGCTCCTCACCAGCGGCTTCTGCAGGGATGATCTCCCTCCCAATTAAAAAAGTGGTACACGTGGGTGTCAGACCCTCTGCATCTCCTACCAGTCTCAGTGTGCTTTCTTCTTCTCTAGTTGTAGGACTTCAATTCAGCCAGTTTTCAGGTGGTTCTGGATGATGGTTATTCTATATTTTAGTTGTAATTTTGATGTGGTTGTGGGAGGCGGCAGGTACAGGTGTTCACCTACGCTGCCATCTCCCATGCATTTTATTTTTTTATTTTTAATTTTTTTTAAAAATATATTTCTTTATTGATTTCAGAGAGGAAGGAGAAGGAGAGAGAGATGGAAACATCAATGATGA